ACGCGCGTGGCAACTAATTGGCGGACCATAACGAGTGACCAAACCGTATAAAATAATTTGTCGCTTTCTTTACGAACTTATCGGTCCAATATCGCTGGATAGAAATTATTGCGAAGTATAATAAATTTATTATTTGCCTGAGTTATACTTAAATATACTCAAAACTGAAGAAATATTGCAATTTTGCAACAAAAGATTCGCGACGCGTTATTCCAGCGCAAGAGGTTATAATCTACTCGCGAAGGATAAAGATGAAATATTCAAACTCCTCAGAGCGATGTCTAACTTACAACACGGATAAACGTGGGCTATTTTATCCCCCCCCCCCCAACTCCTCTCGTATCGCGAAACGTATGATAATAGCGCGATATAAATAGCTGGCTGAGTTCCAGGTGAGTTAATTGCCAGATCAGCGGCAGTTTCGTTTTCTCCCCGCGCGAGCACGTTTCGAACGAGCGTGCTCTTTTTCTTTTTTTTTTTTTCCTTGGCAAAAGGTGAGCCCAAGCTCGCCCCTCGGATATTCCCCTGTTTAATGCGGCCGGGCACCGAACTCGGCCTCGTATTCGAATCTCATTTGCGAGATTAAATCTCTCGTACGACGCGCGAATTATGTCGCGTTTTTATGACGGTCGAAGATGCGCAATTGCAGCGGATATAGCTCGATAAGGTGAATAAGTCGGGCGACGGAAATTCGCGTGTGAAAATCCCGGCTGCGAAATTGGATATCCTTTTGTCGAGAACGCAGGAGTTCTTCCTATTCGCTATTTTTTTTCCTTCGGTGTGTATACGTGCCAAACCTGGTTGTTTTGAAAAATTATTTCGAAATTACTTTCTCCGAGGGTATTTCAGGAATGATCGATTTGCAAAATAACGAAATTATTTCGTACAAAAGTTAAATTGATTTACGTCCAATTAAATTGTTTCGCGAAACAAATTATTTATTATTTCCAGGATCTCTGTTTGTCATTTGTTATTTGATTTTGATGGAAATAACTGGTTTCTCATCACGTCCAATGTACTACTTCTTTCAATTCAATTATCAAGTAAGTATTACTTTCTCTAAGTAATCAGTTCTTCAATTTATTATTTTCGCAATTATTCACATACCTTCGATTTCCTTTATTTCGTGTAGTTCGGGTACGAGCTACGTATCATTAATTGAAATCCACTGTTTGCCAAGTGCTAGAGAAAGTTATTTCAAAAATTTTGATACAAAGTTCGTACAGATTTGACGCATGCAACGCGTACAGGAGTTCATAAATTCTTTCGGCATGCGAACGCGCGCAAGCACGTGCCCCCTCCAACGTCCAACGTCCCCCCTTTAGACACCTACGTGTGCCTTTGTGCGCTCAACGACCAAAGAAATAATTAGCCGCCCCGTTTCTAAAGCCACTCGTTCCTTTTCATACACGTGAAAAATAAGAACACTCGAGGGACCATTTTCCTGTTTCCGTGCCGTTCCTGTTAAATTCGTTTTAGGAAGATTTAAACTGGAAGGCGGTGCAGCAGCGGGCTTTCTGTCCCGTATTTAGAGCCAACGCAGCCAACCTGGAATTCGCCTACCGGTTTTCATTTGGCAGCTCGCGTGACAGAGGCTAACAATATATCTCGCTGAGAAAATATATTTCTTTCGTATCTTGGTGTTTGAAGGAGATTTTACACTCGCGGTTCGCCTACGTGTGTAAAATGACTCGCGAATTGGAAAGGCGGAAGGTTATATTCCACGTACGCGAGAATGACAGAAAAAGTGAAAGAGAGAGGAACGTGGAATAAAATCTTTCCACGGATTACTTCGGATCTTCATTTTCAAGGAAGTACGATTTGAAGAGTACGTATATTGTGTACATATGTAGTTAAGTATTGACTTTGTACGTACACGTAAAGGAAGGAGAGATTTCGTTGTCGCCGAGAGCGTACAGAGAGAAAGGAGCGTAATACAAAAAAAAAAAAAAAAAATGGGGAGGAGGAAAAAGGAAAAGAGGAGCCCATAGGCAGCTGCGTGCGGCCAGATTTTCTTATCGCGGAAATAAATCGGTGAAACCAAAGCCCGGCAATTAGCAGTAAATATTGTTCACCTCGTTCTGGATAATCCGCGCTTAAACGGCGGGCCGGTTCGTTCGACTTTATCCGGTAGTTAGTTAAGCTCCAACAAACCAATTACAGTGTCCCGCGTCGTACCAAGGTGCACTGACTATCGTTGGATCAGGGACCAAGTGAACTGCGCGGTTAGCTTGACATTAAGTGCGGAACAGCTGATCCTTAATGACCAATTCGCGGAATTAGTCGGTGTAATTAATGGCCCCGGCGAGGACCTGCTTACAATCTCTAGTTACACCGACACCTTGACGCGTGCCACACGTGTCCCTATAATATGTACCGATCCTTTCTCATATTCAGGCACCCATGGTATGAGATATTGTGACAACGTCAATTTTCTTCAAGACGAGTCTAGAAAATATCTCTACGTCGACGTTTGTATAATTTTAATGGAACATTCGAGTTTCATTTAGGAGGAAATAATTAAAAGCAAAGCAGTTTCTCCAACGCAGAAATAGCATCAACTATCAATTAATCGAAACTACCGAAATGGCCAAAATTTAATATAATTTTTATTGAGAGATTTTATGAATCTAAAAAGCAGGGTGTTCTTGAAGATTTCAATGATTTCTCGTAAAATTTGACAACAAGATGGCTTTGATCGTCTGATAGGTGCTGAGAAACATAAGTTACTGTTAGAAATCTTTGTTTAACAAGATAAGAGGGAAAGCATGACTGTTTGTGTATGAAAATTTTTTCAAGGATCGTGAAATGCTTCCTAGCTCGGTGAGTTAATCGCTCGTGATAATAATGGTACATGCGTAGGACGTGTTTCTGGAATTTGAACTTGGCATTTGTTGCATTCCACATCTTACGGTACAGCTTTGTAATATTCTGTTAGCATTCGATTTAGGAGGAAATAATTCAAAGCAGAGCAGTTTTTCCAACGCAGAAATAGCATCAACTATCAATTAATCGAAAACTACCGAAATGGCCAAAATTTAATTTATTTTTTGCTGAGAAATTTTATGAATCTAAAAAACAGAGTGTTCTTGAAGATTTCAATGATTTCTCGTAAAATTTGACAAGATGGCTTTGATCGTCTGATAGGTGCTGAGAAACATAAGTTACTGTTAGAAATCTTTGTTTAACAAGATAAGAGGGAAAGCATGACTGTTTGTGTATGAAAATTTTTTCAAGGATCGTGAAATGCTTCCTAGCTCGGTGAGTTAATCGCTCGTGATAATAATGGTACATGCGTAGGACGTGTTTCTGGAATTTGAACTTGGCATTTGTTGCATTCCACACCTTATGGTACAGCTTTGTAATATTCTGCTCGCATTCCTGTATACTGTACAGTGAAATTCTACTCATATTTTACTAAAATTTAGCAACTAACAGTTCAATTTCATAGCTCGTTAACAGAAATGAAAATAAAGCGATTTTTTTTTTTCAATTCTAGGTGAAACACAAAAACGAGTATAAAAAGAGAGACGTCGTTGCACGAATTGTTCCATGCTGTAATTCATCAAATTGTAATTCACTGTTGCAATTGTGTACCAAACTGTAATTCACTGTTATTCCGTGAAATTGAATACTATAACGTTGGAGTTAAATTTCAGTTTGAGACACAGGGAAATTACATTGAAATAATAATATTCCGAATATTCGAAATCGACAACTCGATTCCGAGACATCGAGACTCAACGAAATGATGAAAAACATCCTCCGATCCTGCTATCACAAATTCCACAAATTTGACATTCATCATTAACCAGCAGCCAGTGTGTCGATCGCTAATGAAAGAGATATTTAATGTGAAACAGGTCGCTCGGAAACGATGATTTTCCAAAACTGAGATCCAAAACGACCGCTAATGAAACTGAAATGCCGAGAAACATCAACTATTAGCTGATTAAACACACTTCTATTTCACGGGCTACGCCGATTTATAACTAGACTGTTCTCGAACTGCATTATTTAAGCTAACAAAATTTTCCACACAATCCTCGGGGAGGAAATGAAACACGCGTAAATCCCGTCAAAATAATTTCTGTCTGTTATTTGGCTGCCAATGCGAGACAGCGAACGAGAGAGTATGGCTGCCCAAACACGTTGCCGGCCGATCGAGAATGGAAATTGGAATTGTTTCGCGAAATTGCGTACGCAAAATTATATCAATTCAATGGAATTAATAATGACTGCGACTTGTAGATAATTCTGCGACGATCCAAAGTCGCACGCGGCGAGAAACACAGATTCCTAGATAGAGCATGTTTTCCCAAAGAAAACGCGCTTGTGTAAACAGAGAGGACAAGAAAGAAAAGATCGCGATATATGGGATCACGTTGCAACAACCATATCCGATCAAACACCGTGGCTTTCGAATAAAATCGACTTTATCCGATACGCGAAACAATAAATGTTATCTCATCAATT